ACTTCTCCTCCCCAGCTATGGGTTAATTAGTAGGAATTGTATTAGTAAATTATTATTATCTCTCACACACAAAAAATTCTTACGGTTTAAAAATGATTTCTGGCTTTAAATAACCTTCAAAGATTGATAAGCCGTAAAAAAGTAAACCAATCATTCAAGATGTGGTTCTACAGAGAGACGCTTTTCCCCTTCTTTCACAATCACAACACTTATACAATCGGTAAGACGTTACAACAAAACTGATGCGGAACAACAGCACGCAACAATCAACACGTTACAGTATGCAAGGCTCACCCCTTTTTTCGCGAGGAAAGCACCCACACACTTCACTCTGATTATTTTTCCCGATAGACTTGGTTTCATATCCGCAATATAAACAATTTGTAAAGAATTAAGGGATTTATTTTTAAACTGTAAGTATATTATTTGTAATAAGGCTGGAAGTTATAAACGAGGTCTGATCAAAAAGTATCGTGATTTTGCTATGGTAAAGGAGCTAAAACATGCAAAGTGACGCCACTTGGCAGACATTGATCTTGAACTTTGTTGCTAAGTTATAACGTACTCGCTCACTTCCGATGTTAATAGCAATACTTGGAAGGAAAGTATGTAGAATGTGGTCGTCTCAACACACTACAGGCGTTTCATCGGTTGTGCCGCTGTTTTTGGCCAAGCACAGTCTTACGCAGTTTCGCCAACCACGAAAATTCTCAGATCTCAGCCCTTGTGACTTGCTCCTCTTCAAAAAATCAAATGCCGCTTTAATGGAACACAATTTCAAGGCTTCGAGGAAATCCAAAGAATGTAAGGATATAGTTGTTCGCTATCCGCAAAAAAGTAGTTCCGGGAATGCATCCATCAATGGAAACAACAACGGATAAAGTTTGTGGATTTAGAAAGGAACTACTTCGAAGGAGATTATATGCCGAATTGATATGTGTTGTAGTTTTTCTTTTTATAGTACCTGTCCTGATAATTTTTTGCCCAAACCTCGTAACGTCGGATTAAAAATAAATCTATTAATTCTTCAGAAATTTAACCTTTCTATGTAGATTTTCTATTATTACCATGTGGAATAGCAAATGTGATAAAAATAGAAACAAAAAGAAAGACAAAGGAACGCGTGTTTCGAGATAATCTTGGAGGAGCTTCAACCTGCTAATTATTTTGGGAACTGAGAATTAAACAAAACATTAAATTTGTCGTCTTGATTTCAGTTTATGACAGTACTATTGAATGCTATACACTTCAAATAACTTGGCGTATGGATAATTTATAACGCATTTATTATCGTCGAAAAAGGCAATAAAATAAAGAATAGGTTGCGCCAGGTAGTTTCGCCTAACACCGCAAACTGCTACAAAACTAAAACATCATTCTGATAACTCGAATCATGTTCTTAACCATTTGAGCTCTGACCACCGTTTTACCGGTGGTAAAGAAAAATTACGTAATGCCCAGCCATCGGTTGAAAAGTGGTAGAGAAAAGGGACATAATGCCTAGGTAACGGTTGGACGGTGAGTAAACACTTGTAACTATTTTTATGTCTACCGTCAAACATTACATACCAATTATTTGCGATTTTTGACTCAGGAGCTCAGGCAGAAAGGTTAAAATTGTTCAGGGACGCAGGGCTCAAAGGGTTAAACAGCCTCTTCTTAATGAGACTTTCATATGAATGTTAAGCACAATATCAAACCTGTTAAGAAATATCTAAGCTGTCAGCTGTATAAACCCCTTTTTGAGATCAACATTTTGAGTGAGCAAAGTCTGAGGGTCATGGGAAAGATCATTTTTCTTTGAGCATTGTGGACTGGTGCTGCAGATTCGGAAACGAAGAACTGTACTCGATAGCAGGAATTACATCACTAGAGGACTACCGACAGCAGCAACAACTAAAATGGATAGCACGAAGAGAAAATAATGACATAATCAAGATGCTGACATTCGACTCTACTTCAACATTAGCAAGGAAAACCCCATCAATACAGGAAAGAGCGATAACAGCTACTGGACGTGAGAAAACTATTTCCCTGGAAATTGTTTTAAAAATATGCAGCAATTCGTTTTTGGCGGATGGCGAAGAACTGCTTCTTCGTAATCACTTGGATTTCCTCGACGTCTTGAAAGTTGATTTTTGAAGAGGAAAAGAGGTTTGAAGTCATAAAAAATAGCGGATTAAAAATAAATTCATTAATTCTATAGAAATTAACAAATTAACACAATGAAATACGTGTGACGATGAAAATTATAACAGGCATGAAATAACGAACAAGCTACTCGAACTTTATGACAGTGTAATATTTTGTCATTTGCTCTCAGCCAGGGTGTGCCCAGCTCATCTCGTCTCGTCCCACGCGTGGTTCTTACATTCTGTGCGCATTCTCGGCAATACTGTTCAATTTGATTGTTTAAATAATTGAGTGTGTCACTTGCAAAAACGGATGCTTGTGTGAGGTCACGTTCTTCTTCATTCGGCGGTCGGGCATAAACCCAGTGCAATTCAGCACTTGGCTTCCTTGAGTCTCTGCTGTGAACTTAAGTGCAACGTTCAGTTGGGCATCATACTACATTAGTAATTTAAAAGTTTGCTGGATAGATCAACACTGACTTTTATATAATATATATATATATATATATATATATATATATATATATATATTTCATTGTGGGAAGTGTTACTTGATGATCCGAAATCCTTAAAAAAGGATTTTGGTGAAATAAATTATTGTAATGGTACCTTAAAGTGGTCTGTTGTTCATTAAATATTAGCTCTGTTCTTCACATTGAGCTCTCAGGATTTCATCCTCCTTGGATCTACCAATTCGGTTTAACAAGTTCTTCATAACTTGACTATATATATATATATATATATATATATATATATATATATATATATATATGTGTATATGTATATGTATATATATATAATTTTCGGCAAACCACTTGGATAGATCAACCTTGATTTTGGGAAAAACACAAAATAAATCAGACACAAGCACACACATAGAGAAAATAATACTGACACACACGCAAACATAAACATATACAGATAGACACAGACAGACACATATGCACAAACACACACTCATAGACCGACACAGGTACACATACACAGAGAGGGAAACACAGACACTCACACACAGACACACACACAAACACACACAGAAGACGCATGCACACACCCCAACACAGTCACACATACAGAGACAAGCAAACATAAACATACAAACGCACGCACACACATACTGACTTACACACAGGCACACATGCAGAAACACACAAATATACCGACACAGACATAAACAGATAAAAATACACAAACAGGCAAACATAGACACAGACACACACACTGACACACACACACATAAAGACACACACACACACAGACAGCGATACACATACCCAGACACAAAGAAAACAACTCATTAATTCATGGCATGCAAAGTGAATAAGTCGACCTTGAGATTTGATAAAAAAAATATCAATCAACTACATCAGCACTGATTCAAAGCTCGGATGGGAAAGGAGGACGATTGGTGGCGGGGTGGGGAAAAAGGAAGACAATTGGTGGCAGGGTGGGGTTGCGGGGGTGGGAGGGTTAGAACTCCCACCCATAAAAATCTCCGAGCTGTAGAATCATCGACAGCAACTTCATCCTGATTTTTCCTCACGGCCTATATCTCAGTTGTTAGATAATATACTTCGTGAATGTCTAATGTGTACAAAGGAAATCAGGGCCGTTTATTTTTCTATCTTTTTTTTCTATATTATAACCAGGGTATGCCCAGAGCATCTCGCATTGTAATGACGAAACAGAAATAGCTCTCTCAAGGAGGAGAGTAACAAAACAAGCGGAGACCACTCTTGATTATTCATAACAACTATCTCAAACAAAGCATAGTTCAATTTTCCTATTTAAGAAAATGCTCATATCTCGTTCGATTTTCTATGAATTTATATCTGTTTGCTTCATTCTCTTATCCCAAACGTAAACACAGTAGCAATTAAATGTATTTTTAATCCGACATTACTTCCTATGATTCGGCTTGACCGAACAAACGAATTGTCGCGAGCCTCAAATATGATTTTGCAAATTTTGCCTTGTTATAGCTTTGGTATTTAGCAAAATACTTGGCTGTAAGTTAAAACTCTTGAATTATTCTACCTAGCCAATCCATTTCCGATTTTATTTTTAACTAAACTGGCAAGGTTACACAGTGTTTTCCGTCTATTATATCAAAATAACAACAATAATGTTCAAAATTTATTACGAAAAATAATTATTGCGATTTCTTTTAGAATTATTTAGATAAATATATCATTTGCCTATTAAATCAAAATAGCATCATATACTCGGGCTGCGAATGAAATATATTGAAATATATAAAATAGATAATTGATTAATAATAAAAAAAATCTACTATCTTCTTTCCAACGCTAGCTCAGCCAATCCAAATCGACTACCTTATTTTTGCTTTCATCTGACCTTGAAGATCAACCTCTAGAAGTCGCAATTAAGACACATTTCCCCCTAAAAATAATAGTTTGCATTTCTGATTTTATTTTTAACTAAACTGGCAAAGTTACACAGTGTTGTCCGATGTTTTTATTTTTTTTATTTTTGGGCAGTAATATATTTTCCCCATTTTACTCGTGTATAAGTGGACCTTACTTTTAGGCCAAGATACCAATAATTTACGTATGGATCTACGCCCACTATCGCCCGGTTCAGAAACTACGACTTATCAACCCTTTGGAGATTATTTAAAGGCAGAAAATATTTTTAGATATTAAGATCTTTTTTTAGAGATAATAATGATTTATTAATATAAGTCTTACTAATTAACCCATAGCTTAGGAGAGAAGAAGTGGATTCATACCTTTCCCAAGGGTATTTGCGCGTAAGTGAATATAATGAACACAACCGGAATTAAAACACGGTTCTTTGATAAACAACTCCGAGATATTATCCGTTACACCACCCGCACATCTAAGTTTACAGCAGATACTATTCCCAAGCGGTCACCCATCAAGGTACTGACCAATCTTGACGTTGCTTATCTTCAGTGATCGTACGAGAACCGGTGTTTCAACGTGGTGTACCCGTGAGTCCCGTTTTTTGAACAGGAGTAGAGGCTTATAGAAGTTGTTTGACCTGCCTTTGCTGGTTGACCTCTACTACTTTTCCTATGAGTTGACACAGTAGTACATCAACAACATACTCTTCTTTATGCTTCTAGTAGTGTCCTACATATCTTAATTTATGATTCTGTATGGCATCGGAGATGGGAATGCTTTTGCCATACATCGGGTTCCTTGACAGGGTGTTGACGTCACAAGATGGTTAGGGACCGACCAGAACATTCTTATGGAAGCACCATTCAGAGTCTGATTAAGTCCAAGTGTTTCAGCCAGCGGAAAGAACCTCTATTGCTACTATCATGAAAAGTGCTCAGACGAATTCATTCACAGCTAGGATCCGTTATGCTACGCGCATTAGGACGAAGCAACCTCATTCCTTCCGGATTCCATTGGTGGTGAGAAGTAACTTCCACTCGAACAGCTTCTTCCCGCCAACCACTGCTCTGTGGAAGCGACTCCCAAGAGGATACTTTCCTATTGCTACAATCTTAACCTGTTAAAGTCTAGGATTAACCACTATCTTCCGAATAAACTGTGCCTCTTACTCTGTACCCATCTACATCAAGTGGGTTCACGGGCTTTGTACAGGGTGAAAACTCTCTGTAAAAAATAGCAAAAAAGGTAATTTCAACAGAAAGAAAGCCATTTAGCGATTAAAATAAATAGTGAACAAAAGAAAATCCCTTTTAGATGAACAAAATTAACTACTTTTATTTAATTTTCTTCTGTTTGAATGTGCCATAATTCGATTTCGATAACGGCGAGCAAAAAAAAAAAAAAGGGAGAGGAAAAAGACGTGTGCATGCGCATGCGCATTTTACGTACTTGCATGAAGAGCTCTGCGTATAGGCAGGGACAACGGAAGCTTTTTAACACGAAATTGGCCATGTTAAATAACCTCCGAGGTCATCATTATCATCGACTGAGTTGTTTCCGTTTCAATAAATAATTGATACAACGCGCAAAACTGAACAGCGACAAAAGGAGGGGAAAAATCTCAAAGTAAGGAAAATTTCAATCGACGTTTTACTTTAAGGAATTTGAAGTTAGTCTGCTCATTCTCGGAAAGTAGTTACGGTTAATATAAATGTTATTTCAGTATTTAGTTACTATCTCTGCCTTTTTATTTTTTCTTATACATTGGAATTAATAAAAACTAGTTTCGGAGACGTCCAACTAAAGAAAAACGTAGCACACGAAAGGAATCGCACTTTCTATAGTGAAACTATTCCTGTATTCGAAGAGCGTCGTTAACAAAATGGCCACGAGAGACCATTGTAATGACAAAACAGAAATAGCTCTCTCAAGGAGGAGAGTAACTATCAAAATAACAACAATAATGTTCAAAATTTATTACGAAAAATAATTATTGCGATTTCTTTTAGAATTATTTAGATAAATATGTCATTTGCCTATTAAATCAAAATAGCCTCATATACTCAGGCTACTAATGAAATATATTGAAATATATCAAATAAATAATTGATTAATAACAAAAAACAAAAAAAAAAACAAAACAAAACCCACTATCTCCTTTCCAAAGCTCTTTTCCAATCAAAATCGACTACCTTATTTTTGCATTCATCTGACCTCGAAGATCAACTTCCGGAAGTCGCAATTGAGACACAGTTCCCCCTAAAAATAATAGTTTGCTAAACTATTATTTAACACGGTGTATCAACGGGATATGGCCGTAAGTTTCTATCTATCTATCTATCTGGATGCATTGATATCTATCTATTTGAAAGTTATTAGCTGCACATGGTCTGATTTCAAACTGTAGAACTAGGAAATTTTTCTCCTCTGAATCGATACTTCAAATATACAAAACAACCATTCGCCCTTGCATGGAGTATTGCTGCCATATATGGGCTGGAGCACCTTCTGTTTACCTCGGAGTTCTTGACAAGATCCAGAGACGGATATATAATCTAATTGGCCCTGATCTGGCGTCTCGTCTACAGTGTCTCTCTCACAGACGCGACGTCGCCTCTCTCTGTCTTTTCTACAAATAATTCCATGGTAATTGCTCCGATGAACTGCTTTCACTGATTCCCAGACTCCATGAATTCAAGCGCCCTACGAGGCTGGCATCGCGCTCCCCACCCTTACACTATAGAAATTTTTAAATGTAGCCGTCTCTTCTACTCCAATAGCTTCATACCTCGCACCTCTCGCCAGTGGAACACCCTTCCCAATTCTGTTTCCCTGAAAGCTATAATCTCCAACTATTCAAATGTAATGTCAATCGACACCTCTAGTTACCTTGATCTACCCACTATCCTTCTCCTCATCCTTTCTTCTATCACTCCTATCCGCTCTTGCTCCAAATCTTCCACAACCCCCTGCATCCTAGTGGCTTCACGCCTTGCTTGGGGCGTAATGCTTACCCCCCCCCAAAAAAAAAAAAAACAAATGTACTTAACATCGAATTATAAAAATCGTCGAGATCTGTCACAACCTGTTCACGCGCGCATGCGCACACACATATACATATATAAGATGAATGCCAACATCTTACTCAGATGCGAGGAAGCATCGTTTGTAATAGCTTCCATAACGTTTTGGCGTCTATGTCCGCTAGGATGACTCTTGAGACTAACATGGGATTTCATAGGTGTCAGGCATATATAACCGACAAACTCTGTATCCTTAATTGGGTTGACTCGATCTGTATGACCTGCAAACCTCCTGTGTACAACGAAATGCCTTTTCAGTTCAGAAGATGATCTGCAAACCACGTTGCAAATAACGCAGTTATTGCCAACAGGACGATAAGGCAGGCTGGTTTGCTTGGCATTGTTATGATTGCCTTTCAAATGGTTTACATAACCTGCCATAGACAACAGCGGAGGCTCACGCATGCCACATTTCTAAGACTACATATTAGTTGCAAAATCAAACGCACACATACACACACACACACGCACACACACATAGTATTTATTATTCGGTCTAGCTAGCTCGGACATTGATGAGTCTATCACGCCAACCATCACGGTCCGGCATCAAGGTCGGAAGGATAGCATTCTGTGCCACAACATTACTGGTCATTGTAGGTGGTTGCTGGGCGACGGGTCGATCTTGCACCATGGCTACGTGTCCAGGGAAGTAGATCACTTGCGAGTTCTAGCTTTGCTTACCGGCAATGTCCGGCAAAGCGCATTCTGAGTTCATGTAAGATTGTAGAAATATCAAGGATGGGTTGAAAGCATTGGATGTTGGGGACAATATAAATAGTATCCCAGACAGAGAGCTCCTTACAAAAGTTAAGTATAGCTCCCGGCATCCGATTGTAGGTACCATCAAGTTTAGATGCTAGGGTTTTAGTTAATGTCTAAACAGTGGCACCATACGATAACAACGCTTCTACAGTGGCGCGAAAGTAGCTCCGTTTGAGGTTGTCTGGTAGACTAGATTTCCAGAGTATATCTTATTTTTTTAATTCAAGATGGCTCAGGCTTTAGTGAAGCCAATTTTTACATCCTTTTCAGGAGAATTTAATTCGCTTCCTAGATATGTAAAAAGTTCGATAGATTTTATTGATTCACCTGAGATCGTTTGTATTGTGCTTCGCTGTTTGAAACTTATGAATTCAGTTTTAGAGACATTGATATAGAGTCCAACATCGTTGGCAGTATTTCTTATAAGATGTAGGAGGAATTTGACATTACTAATCGTGTCTGCAGTTAGGTCATCTACATCTCTATCTATAAAAGGCAGGATGTGTGTGTGTGTGTGTGTGTGTGTGTGTGTGTGTGTGTGTAACGAAAGCACGGGTGCAATTTTCGACGGATTTGCAACAAAATTTACATGCACATGCTCCAAGACCGACTTTGCATTTCCCAACTCCCATCGATAGTGGAAATAATCGATTTTTTCATGCTTCTACGGCAGTTTTCATGTAGTTTAAGGCCATTTTCTACTGGCCAGAGTGAGAGCCAATAGCTGGCTGCCACGAATAGGCAGGAAGATTCTATTGGCCAGCGTGAGAGCCAACAGCTGACTGACACGAATGTTAACTAGCATGCTAGCATGCAAAAAAACATCGATAGTTGCGTTCGTCACAAGTGGGAAAAATCTAAATCTGCAAAGCACTTTACTCCAATTGGCTCATTCGCTTGCTTAAACTCAACGTTGATTCTGATTTCGCAGAACTGGGTTGGGTGTGAAAAACTATTTGTTGTTAACATTCTTTTTTCATTCGGTTTTTCCAGTTACGAGTCCTTTTTTAAAGCTGACCGTGTTGTGTTCATTTTGTTTAGTTCTTTTTTCATAACAGATTTAATGTTTAGTATAAAGCTTCGAAAAAATTCGCAGTGTGAGATAGGCAAGAAGTAAGGCATGTAGCAACATCAGCACGGCAAAGGGCACTCCTTTAAAGGCAAGGATAGGCAAAAATATTTTAAGTCAAGTGATAGCGATTGCTGTATGAGTCGTACGATTTTTGAATGAAGCACGGGCAACGCCGGGCTATGATGCTGCTAGTAGTGAATATCTGTCAACTTTTTTCTAGGGTACCAATTTGAGAGTCTTGGTGACAAAGTAAAACCTATACAGTATAATGTTGATTAATGTACCTGGCGATTTACTTAGTTTACTTGGCAAATCACACGCATACACGCATGAACACACGTACACACACACACACACACACACACACACGCGCGCATTCTCTTTCTCCTACGTACAGGCAAACATACACGCACACTTACACACACGCTGCGGCACACACACAAATGCTCACAGACACGCTCACATACACTCACACGCACACACACTCTCTCTCTCACACACACACTCACTTTCACACACGCTAAGACACACACTCTGACACACAAACAATGACACAACTACGCACTCACATGCATACACACAATGTTAAACAGACATACTCTCACACTCACACAGACGCACACAATTTCTCTCTCTCTCTCACACACACACAGATATATAT